CCCCAGGCCCCACATGCACCCATGAATCTCTCAGGTTGTCCTAATCCCCTTGAACAGATGGACAAGGCAATACAGATTGTTCAAATGAAAGCTTTATTCGGTGTTTTCATATAAACTCCACTTCAAAAGCTTGCAATGCTTTGTCGTTGCGACTGAGAAGCTGTTACAGAGAAACCAGCTGTTTAACGCTGCAGACAGTACTTACAAACTAAACCAAGTGCTTGTCAATCACCCCACTGGTCTTCACTGTATCTCCAGTTAAGCACCATTAAAATCCACTGTCTTCAGCCCGTGGCCTGTGTAACGCTTCCTGCTGGTTTTTAACGTCGGCTATTTCTGCTTTTACAGGCAAAATCGAATCTGTGTTTGCTCACATTCTCTGGAAATCCCCTTGGCAAATTTAGCCTTTTCCAGGTTATTTGCAACACGTTGTACAGAAACTTTTATTCGAGCTATATCCCGAAACATTTCATAAAGCTAAAATTGTTAATCACACAAACGGTTAACACAGTTTCTAAGTTAAATAATTTAGCAGGTAGAAGGTAAGAGGAGGTAAGAGGTAGATACAAGAGATACTGAAGAGATATTGCTGACAGAACAGAACCAGAGGGTTGCTGCAGCAGATAGCAGAAGGTATGCAGACAGCTTTTGCACCAGCAAGAGAGGGGACTGAAGGGTTGCAAACCCCGTAGGAGGAATGGAATGAAATCTGTCTCAGGAAAACAAATGATCATGAAAATCAAAAGAGCACACGTAGTTGGTCTTGAAACAGCTTAGACGTCGTTTGAAATCGGTCAGACTGTACCTCCTTGGGGCATGATGCAGACAGGCAGCCGAAGCGCTCGGCAGAAGCTGGGGTCTGGGGACAGGGTGGCCCACGTAACACAACGTCACGCTCTCCAAAGGTCTCGGTGGAGCAGGCCAGGAGGTGAAGGTGGACGCTGGAGAGGCAGCACAGCGGTGGTATGTAGATTTGCATATATAGGAATACTGGAGGAAGACGGCTTGAGGAAGACACCAATAATAAAGTACTAAAAAGGGGAGGCACAACTCAAAAGAAACCCAGCGACATGCAATAGTTTTTTACTCCCTTTCTGAGATGCCAAAATACGCACTGAAGTAACATCTTTTTTTTTTTTGGGTGGAATGTGAAGAGAAATGTTTTTCTACATGCACAAGTTATTGAATTTAACTGGGATGCGTGTCATGGGCAGCCCTCCCACCTGCTACATCTGAATACTGGGGTGGGATGATGCTGCCGCACAGATTTTGTCTACGAGGGTCAAACAAAAAGCAAACTTTACTCTTTTGGGAAAGTCTGGATTTCAGCCTACAAACTCCCAGATGAAGGGTTAAAATTTGTCTTAGCTTAAATAGAAACAAAGATTATTCTATAACCTGGGTCAAATTGAGCAGGTGGTGTCTGCATAGCTCCTGGCATTCCAGATGCCCAACAAAATCATTTTCTTTTTTAGTATATGCAATATGTTTGCTTCTGAAAGCATCACCAGCTTCAGGCAGGCCCTCCCGTAAAAGCACGCACACCAGAGATCCGCGTCCTGTCCTGCGAAGCTCTTTCCAAACAGAAAAGACAGGTGAGAGATGAGGCAAGGAAACAAAAATACAGAGCTGTGAACTGACTTGTTCAAAACAACACAAAAGAAATCATCCTCAGAAACTGCAACGAGTCCCCCTTTCTCTCTGACTCTCCTCATACTGCAAATAATACCTACGACAGCCTCTAAACCCAGGGAGGTAGCCCTCATTCAAGGAGCCTGCAATAAAAGCAGGCAAGCGGATAAGAACATGCTGCGTGATAGAAAATGGGTTAGTGGGAAAGCAAAACACTGTTTTTCCAAAAACACTGGTCTTCTGAAACAGTAAAAAGGAACATTCCCTGGTCAAAAGCCGGCGCAGCCCAAGGAAGGATTAGCGGATGAGGAGCATAACTGTGATAACACCCAGAGGATTCCTACGGCAAATTCCAAAGGCAGATTTTGCAGGGAGATGGCACAGAAGAGAGAAAGGTCTGTGCGGAACAGATGTCCTGGAACAGCAACGTCTGCCTTCAGTCTCACACAAGACAGAATTTTTGTATAGAAGAGAAAATATTTGGTTCAGATACACACTAAAGAAATGGAGTGACAGCATGGTGCAAACTGAAACCGTGGCTTTGGATCTATAAAATTTGATTCATCCGGCCCTCATAATTTACACTTAAGCACAGAGCATAAGCTGGTCTCTCTTCAAAATGACTTTCAGAGGCAGCGGGGAGTGAAGCGCTCTATTTCTTTGTGAAATTCAGGCTTCTGAAGTCACATCAGCAAAAGCAAGCGCGTGGTGTTTAGATGAACTTGACTAGCAGTGAACAAAGAAAACACTGAATCTTTTTTCCTCGTGTAAATACTTGTTTCGGTTTGTCTGTGAAACACAGTACTTGACAGAGACCTTTGGTTCATACTACAACTGACAGCAGCTATTCAAGGAGTTCATACTACAACTGACAGCAGCTCTTCAAGTTTTGAACACTTTTATTTTCAGATGTTTTTAAACATCTGCTCGACTAATTGAGTTATAGGTGTTATAAATCACTGCCTATGAACACTTCAATGTGACAAAAGAAAAGATGCACTCACTAAAAGAGGAAAGATGTCCTCCTCAGAAGATATTAAGTGGAGCCTACAGAAGACCTGTGCTACTGTATAAAACTACTAATAAACAATAAAATAATTCCACAGACATCATATTGAAATGAATATACTTTAAGCTTGGAGTAACAGAAGCAGGATGAGTACAGAAGGACAAAACCAATTTAAAAGGATAAAAAACCTGCTTGAAAGGAAAGCGTGATCAGCTGTTAACTCAGCAGCTGGCAATGGCGAAGGAGCAGAAAGAGCCAGTTGTGTGGGGAAATCACAGGGCACCCACGGCAGACAGCACGATGCAGTCATGTGAAAGGCCAGTGTGGTTGAGGGATGTATCAAGAGTTATTTCCAATATGCTGAGGAAGTATTAGTGACATCACACGTGGCTTTAATCTTCCTTGAACACAGAGCCTAGGCAAACTCAGGCTGGAATGGATGAAGAGAGGGCTGGTGGAGCACTGAAGGTCATGTTGCACAAGGACGCTTTATGTGATTCAGAGCAGATGCAAGGGATTCAGGAGGAAGAAATGCTGCTTAGCTGAAGGGCAATACTTGTGTTATTTGGGAGGAAATGAGTGTAAACTGGTCGCCAACACATGGAGACTTCAGGTTAGAGCAGGCTCCTAGCTGCTGGAGGAATGTTCAAATAACAGGAAGAACAAAATGTGAATAATCTGGTTTTTAAGAAAACTGGCACCTTCTTCTCAGTAGAAAGGACATTTCTGCTGTGGCTTTGCATGGGAGGTCTTTCACTTGGACTACATGTGTACATTCCTGCATCTATGACTGCGAGAGCATCCAGCACACATCCTGCATCTCTAAATGACAATCCAGTGCTAGATATTACAGGAAACTTTCAAATTTCTCAAAACAAACATCACAAGAAAGAAAACAACCCTAATGAAGCCAAAGAAACACATGGGATTAAATACAGTACTTAATTCTCTTCAACACACAGAGAAAATGTTGCAGAATAGAAAAAAGGACTTCAGCTTCCTTGGTAATCATGAGAAACCAGACTCCCTGTCTTGCACTCCTTTCTCCGCAGATTAGCAGTTATTTTCTCAATGAACTTCAAAGCTCAGCAGTTACCAACTCTGTTTTGCTGTAGCTGGACTCTGACAACCCTTAACTGTACCCTCTGTTTTTGACTGAGACTCTCCTGAACAAAACACTGTGAGCTTTAGAAATAAGAGACATTTTTTAATGCATTAATGATTTGAATCCTTATGGTCCACTGCTTGATACCTAGAGAAGCAGTAAGTGTAGCTGTATTCTTAATGCAGCCAGTGAATCCTGATGATGCTAAATGCAGACCAATCCCACCAAGTGAAGAAATCAAATCTACTGTCCTCAAGAAAATGTCCAGGCCATCTTGGACAGTACAGCCACCAGCTCTACTTATCCATCTTTTCTTTTCCTCTCCTGTGGTACTGTGAATGATGAAGCTTCAATACACTTAGCCTCTCTCAGCTTAGCAAACAGCACAACTATTCAACACACTCCTCTTACCAATAGACAAAACCCATCAGCCTCAAAAGCGTGCTGGATGCTGCAGCAGGGCCAGGTCTTTGGAGTATTTTTTCACAAAACTATCAGGAAATTGGTTTTTTACAGGGAAA